CTTTTAGCGACATTCGATGCTATAATAGGTCCATCAAGTTATTAAAAAAAAATAGTTTTGAATTCACGCCTTTGTTTTATTTCCATTTATTTTCAGATAATTGTTCCAGCAAAAAATGTTGTGGAAGATCTGAAGGCTGAAGAAGGCAACACGAAAAAACTTCTCGAAAACGTGAAGTATCGTGTTGGCTGGGAGAAATATCAACGAGCGCAGAAGGAAAAAGAAGATGCTGAAGTATCATTTTATACATTTTTCATCCTTTTTAAAGAAAGGCGGATTCCCACTCGCGGTTGTTCTGGCTGCTGTTGCGTATTGTCATTTTAACTATAGATTTTAGGTAGTTTGTTCTGTAGCAGTTTCCATGTTCGTTAGTTTCTTGTCCAGTCCGATCGTGGCTTGTTTGGTTCAGACGTTTTGACATTTATGTGAATTCCCATCTGAAGTCACACGTCAAGACGTAATACGGATCGAAATTTGATTTACTATCGCAGTTACGAAATCAGTCTTTCGTTGAGCGCAAGAATTTTTGAACATTTCTCAGCTGGTTAACTACTTTAGACCTTACCAGTCGATTTACCGTCCGCCTCTGCAACCGAATTGAGCTCCTACATCGCTTGTTTAAATTTGCTTTAGTGGGGAAATAACCAGCAGAATACTTAGAACGCATACTGAAGGGTATGCAGAACTTGATACATCTGGATCAGTCTATAGTCTTATTCTTCCATTATGCAACATGCGACTTTTCCGCTGATTTGTTCAGCGCTTCATTGCGTGATGGTCAATCTGCCAGCAGTCATCCCAGTTTTCGTTTCGTTTCCTGTAGGGATTATCAGTTCAACGGTTCTTCGGGCAGAAGGACTTTGCAAGGCTTTGGCGTTTCGAGATGTTCTCGACGTATGTTAACATCTAGTTCAGGTAGCGTCCGAGGCCAATTCGCCTCGGACGCTGCCTGAAATGGACAACCATGAAATGTTATCTTAGTAATTAGGAGAAAATTCTATCCCCATAGATTGTATCCCATAGATTTTGGTAAATCTGTGAACTGTATCCCCACAGATTTTAGTAAAGTCATATCGCTGAGGCCTACTTTTTAGGGCGTATCTCCTCCACTGTAGTAAAAACTCCCTCAGTAACGTGGGACCTCTCTGTCTTACTGTGACTGCTCTGTCAAACTCGTAGGTTCCTTTTGATGTTCTTTGGCATGAAAACGGTGCAGTAATTCTGCATTAAACATGTACTTAAAATGCAAATGACGTTGGGCTCATTAGCAAAATAATGATTATTTCTTTATCAAAGTTTGTCATAATTGCTGACTTTTGGGAGTACACGATATCAGCATGTGCGTATGTATATGTATATATATATATATGTATATATATACATATATATGTAGATATACATGTATATGTACATATACATATATATGTATATATATACATATATATATACACATATATACATATGTATATATGTTTGTTGTCCATCCAAAAATATGTTTGTCCAACAACTTTAAGCTAAACTGGCATAAGCAGTAAAAAGCCATTTTTTGTCAGAGTGTGCCAACTCTGTGGAATAAAATCACCTAATCATTTGCTTCCACTTACCAAGAGATAATAATTTTAGAAGCTATGAAATGAGATTGAAAAACCTACTTTCTTTTTAGGTTGAAAGAGAACGAATTGCATATGCCCAGATTGATTGGCACGATTTTGTGGTGGTGCAAACTGTCGATTTCCCGGTCAACGATTCTGGTCAGTTTTTAATTTTTTTTCTTGCATCTCCTAGATTATTTTACTGCCATGCGCATTTCATCGTGGAAAGTGACTTGATTTATCGTGCACATTGACTTGGCGTAGGAGAAATGGGTAGTGCAAAGAGGCATATTTGCACAAAACCCAAATAGCTTCCAGCAAGCGGAATTTTCCCTTGCCTGAGTAAGTGTGTGATGCAGGTCGTGGCTAGCCGTTAGAGTAAATAAGTCGGCAACTTTTCCAGTTGACTTTACGTATACTGCATTATCCGATAGTCAGTATGCTGACGCTGGCAATGCACGTTTCGTCTCCTGACAGAATTGTCAGGCTTCTCCGACAGAAATATTTTGGTCTTTCTCAAATATAAAGAAATTTAAGAAAGTAGAAAAGATTTATGAGTACTCGAGAAAGTTTTAAAGTTATTAAAAACTGTTCAACAGTTCAAGAAAAGTTCTGATTTGAAAATCGACAAAAACCTTCGTTTTCAGCAACACTTCCACCGTTCTGCACACCAAAAGATGTTGGCGCAAGAATTCTGATGCAGCAGCGACAGGCAATTCTTTTTTTTATTCATAAAATAAATTAAACAATATTTTTATTTCACTTCCTCACATCTAAGCATATGGCTTGCTAAAATGGCAATATTGCAGTTAATTAGTACATTTTGGTAGCTCCTGACATTTGGGGAAGGCACCTCCATGCGTGCTTTTTTTCCAGTGACTTTCTGGCGCCGTTAATAGTGTTAGCGAGGAATTTTTTTTTAGATAAAGTGGGCAAAGAAAATGTTTTTCGCACTTTTTTAACTTGATGGACTTTTGACGCATACCAGTTTTTTCTTCAAGAAACGGAAACTTGTCTATATTATGCATATTTTGTGGTTAATGCTAGATGCTTCTCCACTTCTGCTTCCCGTGCTACAGCTTCTTCCGTCGGCTGGCTTAGAAAGTACATGCCACTGCCACTCCTTGGATGACAGCTTGTAATGAAAATATGGCACAGTTTGAATGCAGAATTCTAACTTACTTTCATCTCAGTAATATCAAGGACTTGGTGCAGATGACTCCAGCGATATTTGTGATTGGCCTGTACATTATTGATTTTTTTGATCCACTTTTACTGCTTATGCGTAATGAGGACGGAATTTTTTTCTTCAGGAAGCGGCTGCTCGAGCAGCAGCAGAAGAGGCAGTGGAGATGGACGTCGAATCCGACTCGGATGAGGAACACCAAGAAATCAACAATGAGGTGAGTTTTCCTCGTGTTTGTGAAGCATTTTTCATTATGTACTTTTGCGTATTTGTGCAAATGCAAAAATTTATATTGATAAGAGGTTGTCTGCATGTGTTTAGGATTTTAGGTATGTGTGTTTTCTTGTGTTCACATTTTACCACTAGTTTTAACTCATTGGCTAAAGGTACTAGTAATCTGAAACATTTGGAACATTTTCCCATTCCGTGTGCGTCTCTCTCGTTTTATTATTGTCATCTAAGTACGCTTAGTCTCATGTACGGGCTCCTGAGAGAAAACTTGATTTTTTTGGTGGAAAAGCGAGTTCGGGAACCAGCAAGATAGGAAACTGGAATTTTGCAGGGATTTTGCATGTTCCTGTGTAAGTTGCAGATTCCAAATTTAGCTTTAACGCATGTCCACTGACACAAAGTTGGAATTACTAAACATCAAAGCTGAGATTATGAAATCTCTGACTAAGCTGATCAGAACGCTTTCGCTTTATAAGTGTATTTGTTCTCACACATGGACCCGTAGGCATAAGTTGAATTTTGGAGTGCACCTGCACCGCGCGTCCAGACATGTCAAACATAGTTGCAACGAAAAACGATAATGCCAGCCAGCCACGGTAGGAAACTGAAACTTTGCGAGGATATTCTATGCAGTGTGCGACCTAAATATTTAAAATTCAGCTTTAAAGCACGCATAGATTTCACGGCGCACGCAGGTGAATATTTAATTCGGAACACTGTTGAGGCCGAATGATTAACTCGGTAACTAAACTGACCAGGAAGAATTATTTTTCTGAATGCGTTTGCTGTTTATGTGTGGGCTGAGCTTTAGGCATAAGCTCTGCATACAGACGCATCAAATATACAAACAGTAGTAACGATCTCTCTACAGGATGGAATCATGTAAAAACGCATGGCTGCTTCGCTAAGCCTGCTACGTCGCTGCCTGGGTTTTGATGGTTTGTAATCTTTTCTTCCGGCCTATTTTCTGTTCTAGGAAGGTAGAAATGAGACAACCCGTCGCGGTCCTCCACTCTCCGAGCGAAATTGATTTTCCAGATAGGAACAATTGTAGGGAGGAGGGAAGATTATTTTTTAAAAAGCTGTTTTTCTTAATATTTCATAGTCACAAGACTGGTTTTGCTGCTAAAATTAAGGATCAATTTTGCAGATTGAAAATGAAGAAGGAGAGAAAACGGAGCCACAGAAAGCCCCGTATGAGGTGAATCAGCCAGTGCCAGTGCCACCATCTGAAGAAACTGTGGTGATCCGAGAGTACGATCCTAAGAAATGTACGTTTCTTTCGAGGCAGATGATTCTTTTACCTTTCAAACAAAACTATGTTTTTGCAAAGTTTGCCATTTTTGTTTGACCCGTGAAGTTGCGCTAGAACGAAACTGCAATTGATCAGGATATCAAACTAAGCAAAATTAACAAAATTTTGCTTGAAGTCTTTTGACACGCTTGCACAGAGTCGTGATACGTTGTGAACAAGCGAAATTCATGGGAATTCTGGGGAACCTTTTACAGTCACGTTTGGACATCCTTTCAGCTATTGCTGCCAGAAAAGCGGCCGACAAATGGATCATTTCGCCATTAACTGGTGAACGGATACCTGCCGACAAACTCCAGGAACATATGCGTTACAACACTGTGGACTCGCAGTACAAAGAGCAGCGTGAAAGGTAACAATAAATGCGTGAATATTTTTTTTTGCTTTAATAATTAGAACTGCACAAAATTTCTTTGTTCTTTTACATGAATTTTCATATTTGAGATAGCTTTCATTTCTGTCCCGCCAAATGGCCCCAGTGATGGCAAGCCCTTCAACAATCATCCGCTAGCAAATATTTTGATGGCTCCCTCTTTTAATGATTGCTTAGAAGGCTGATGGCGAGTTTGATTCTCTGGCGTTTGCTAATACTTGTTTGCCATCGAGTCGAAGGATTGGATTCACAGAGGGATTGATTTGTCGAGCTGATAGAGTCAAACCCTCGAACTTTAGCCCTCCTTTCCCTTCTCTCGTCACCCCTCCAAATTATTTGGTAAAGGGCCAAAAACACTGCTAACATGAGTGCACATGTTAAACCGTAAAGCAACAACCATTTGTGTTATTAAAAGTCTGATTGCTTCAAGATTTGTACAAGACAATCACACTAGCAAACTAGGTGCGCATTACTACTTGGATTTGTTTTCGCTTGCGTTTCATAATTTGTCTTTCATAGGGAATTATCGGATCGAAATGAGGAGGAACCGGTTTATGCGCCTGGAGCTGATATCAGTACGAATATTGGCAAATTTGCTGAGCGTCGTACGGATATTTTTGGCCATGGTGCTGAACAGACTATTATTGGCAAAAAGGTAGTTTCTGGCTTTATGTTGGTCATTATATTATCCGCTTTTACTCGGAAAAGGAGGGAAGAAAGCTTAAATACGACCATTAGAGGGTCATCAACAGATTAACCTATGGGCCACAACTTTGGTAAAGTTACCGTTAAAACTACTAACTCTGTCAGTTATATAAAAGCGGGCTGCCCGTGCGAAGATGCGTTTTTTGCACAACTCTCCGCAGATTTTTGTCGCTAACGGCACTGGTTTTCCCGGCACATGCTTCTAGCTAAAAATATTTTAGACTGGCCGCCAGAACTGTCAGGAAACATCCCCTTAAAATTCCAACTTTCTAGCTTTCCTGGCTCCTGAGTTAGCAGGATGGAACCGCGGGCCATCGTTTAAGAAAAAGAAGAAAAACGCGGTGAAAATCACGGATGTTTACATGCTTCATTTGCACAGCCATGGAATTTCAGTTGGAAGTTTGTGGTGGATTAAATGATTCAGCCTACTAATGCGCTTTTATTGATTGTGCTTGATAAAACTTTTGTCTTTTCACAGCTTGGTGAAGAAGAAGAGGCACCACGTGGGCCCGACCCGAAGCTTATTTGGGACGGGCAACAGTCAACAATCGATCAAACAACAAAACTGGCGCAGCAGAGCGTTACACTTGGTACTTCTTTGTTCAGCCTTTGGAAAATATCCTTTTTTCTGTTGTGTTTCCAATCTCCATAGAGTGAGGCTCCTGTTACTCGTTTAATATAATATCGAATAATTGCGTCGGGACATGTTAATTTATATTTGTTATAGCAAATATCAAATTTTTCGAAGCATCTTCACTCTCTGAAGTTTCTTAAGACATGCAAGTGTTGCCTCGTTCGTTCTAGTTTCTTATTCCATCTTTGTTTTGTCTCCCTTCCGTTTTTTTTTTTTTTTAGTGTTATTTTTTATTTGATTCTAAAATACACTTCATTCTGCTCACTATTTACTGCAGTCAGATCCTTTTCTCTAGTTCATCCATTATGGCGGACGGAAACACGTGAAACTCCTCGGCTTACAGTGCTTTCGCCAAATCCATCCACATGCCAAGCGGTTGATTGTATAGGAATTGTTGTTTGAAGGGCAGGTCTGACGACCGCTGTTTGCTTATCATTTAATTTGTTTCTGTTCTCAGCGCGAGAATTTGGGTGTTACTAAGATACTAATATCTTCTGCGGGACGTCGAAGAAGCGCCCTTTTGTCTGACCCATCTCTCTTGGTACATTTGCTTCCATATTCGTCTGCTGCCTGTATGATTCTAAAAGTACACCTCACTGATTTTTCTACCATATTTCCCTTACTGATGGTGATCTTTAACTGTGGATTTTGTAAGTTCGTTAAAATCCCGAGCTTTTGAATCTTTATTTTGCTAACACATTCATCAAAAAAAATTTTTTTTTGCGATTTTCAGATCAGCAAATTAATGAAATTCACAAGCAGCATGGTTATGTTGCGGATCCAAGCAAGGAAAGAATAGGGCCAGGTCCAGTTCCGCCGCCACCACCGCAGGCATTACCTCCCACTACCACGGCAACAACAACGGCGGCAACCACCACAACAGCTGCAACACAACCGACCACTACGACTCCTAGCACCACCACGTCGGCTACAGCAACTCCAGCTGCACCTGTCCCGAAGCCACCGATACCTGCTCCACCGCGAGCTCCAGTACCAGCGCCGCAGACTGCGCCACCAACTCTTCCACCAGCACAACCCGTTCGACCACCAGTCATTCCTCATTTGCCTCTCCGGCCACCTCCACCAGGGTAAGTGCACTGCTTCAGCACATTCGGCTTTTCTGTGTTTTTTTGCAACTTAGTACTGTGCAGTGAAAACATTCTTTTTTTGGAATGATACGGGGGTCTTCTCTTCTCAGATAGCGTCCCTGTTAGTAAAATTATTAACTGAAACTTCAGATTATTGTATTAATCAAACTGGCAACCCACAGAGGAAGTTGTTGAAAAAGGCAATAATTTGTCATATACCTCTCAAGAAGTGCTTGTAATGGTGTTTTACAATCTGCAAAGCCTCTTGCTGGATACTCTAATTTGCAGCCATTTTAGTACTACCTTTGACATTCCCGAGAAGTTTGATAAATTTTAATGAATTTTTATATTAATACATGAGATAGGGGAAGTTAACCTTTCCAGAGTTAAAGAAATAATACGAAGATTGTTTTAGATTTCCGGCGATGCCATTCCCAGGCGCACCACCAATGCCGCCAATGCCACCGATTCCGATGCCTGCAATGAGAGTTAGTGCTTGCATTTCGGTTTTGCTTATGCATATTTTTTAAAATTTAGCTGGTTCCAGTGTTTTTTTGAACGAAGACATGATTTGGGCTTTTTTTGCATCTTTTTTGTGGTGGATTATTTTTGTTATTTTATTTTCGTGTATCATACTACCTTGTGCATTTTAGCCCCCAATGGCTGTACCAATTATACCAGTTCCTGTAATTCCGCCACAGCCACCAATCCCTCCAGTCCGACCACCGGCTGTCCCAGTACCACCAGTGTCTACTGCTCAGCCAGCTGTACCGACCTCAGCTGCTGCCACCACACCAGCAACAACTGAAGCTAGCGCCACACCAGTACCGGCAGCAGCAGCAGCTTCTGCTGCTGACGATGGTCCGCCAGCAGCCAAGAAAGCTCGAACCGAAGACGATCTGGAGAGTGAGGAGGCATGGTTGTCCAAGGTAAATTTTATACAGTTTGTGCTACGAGACGAGAGTGCTAGAGAGAACAGCCAGGATGGAAGAAGCTGGAGCATCTGAGGTCGGCTTGTAGCTGCTTTTTTTTAGTTCAACTGATAAATCAATCATGCAAAGGGAAAGTGAGGAAGGGGATTTATTAGGCAACGTTTTCGTTCATATACGCTCATGCGTAGTCTCATTTGTCCCGTTATGTTTGTGAGGAAAAAACCTCTAGAATTTTCAACTTTATTGCGATGCTATGTTGAAATTTCAAACATTTCCTAAAGAAAGAATCTCATCTGACGAGTTAATAAACGTGAAAAAATCATTCATGTTTCATTTTCAAGTTTTTTTCAATCCAAAAAAAAAAAAAAATAGTAATCACTCAGCAGTATTTTGCACTGAACAGATGCCTTTTGAGGTGACTGGCTCGATCACCGTGTATGTGCAGATACCAGGAACTTCACCGAATCCCGAATGGAAGCTTGATGGAAGACGTTTGAGTGTTACAATGGA